CAGCATAGCTGGCTGGGGAATTCTGGGAGTTGAAGTCCACCCATCTTAAAGTTGCCAAGGTTGAGAAACACTGCAACGCAGGCTGAAATTTTAGCAGCCGGAAGATGGGGCTGAGCTGAATTTGAAGGGATTTGGGGGCAGAGCATCCTTGTTCCTCATGATGGCCCAACAATCGATGTCTATGCAGCTTTTCATAACACCAAGTTTCTGCTTTCCTTCCCTGTTTGTTTACCTTGTTTATCGCTTGATGTAGAGTTTGTGATTCAATGTTAGTGGAATAAGCAATAGGAGTTGCAGCAGCAGATTCGTGTATGGAAGTGGGTGCCCCCCCCCCCCCGCAAGAGTGTGGCTTTTCTTCTTCCTAGATTTGTGATGTCTAGGCAGTAAGTGAATATGAGAGTAGAAGAAGCAATCCCCCCACCCCTTTTTTTATGTCTCAGAGCAAGGAATGCCAGAAATAACACTTCTCATCTGCCATGCTAATAAGGAATTGTCTGAAAGGAAATGCTGTTCCTCGAGATGCATCGGGAATGATTGTCTTACTCATTTGAAGCACCTTTTCGTTGATCAGCATCGCTGTTTGATCGAGGAGCAGCTGAAGCCCTCAAAGAGTTTGTCATCTGGCTCGCGCACTGTGCTATCGTGATTCCTTTGGCCATCGTTTGTGGAAGAAAGCATGATAGGCTGGGCTTATGCGTCACGTTAAGCCATGTATGGTGGTTGCTCAACCAGAGTAGCTAGTTCACACTACCTGTGGAGTCCTGGCAGAACCCCGATATTGTAGCTTATTTAGCAAGCCACAGTTAAACAAGGGTTGACCCAATAGAATGCCCGAACCCGGCCAAACCGCACCCAGAGACCAGAGGTGGCCACTCTGTTGCTCAGAGCTCTGTGCAAATCTGGGTGCAGAGTAATAAAGCACAAGGCTTCTGTGTGCAAGCAGAACTTTGGTCTCCTCTCCAGAAAGTTTTACAGGAGATGGTAGACAAGGAAAAAATGCTAAACGAATATCAGTTCCATCTTTAACTTGCAATGGGAACGCTGGCTTATGCTGCAGGGCTGTTGTGCACCACCAGGATTAACCCTAGATTCCTGACTCTGTAATGTTAACGCTGGACTCTGTTGCCACGCTGTTACTTCCCCACCGTTGACGGTGATATTCCACTTGTCCTCCCACCAAGGACTCAACAGACATGCAGCCAGCCACATTTTATCATCAGATAATGCTGAGAGCTTGGTGCAAAGTTACCAAAGACAATGGCAGGATTTGTGGGGGGATTGTCCCAGTCCAGGCACTGTACCGAGCACTTCTGTTTTATTTCCTAGCCATTGGAGTAGTTCAGCTCTTTCCCATAAAGGGAGCAAATGTGTGGTGTGTTCTTTTTTCATCTCTCAGTCATCAGCCCCAGGTTTTGCTGTCCAGCCTTGTCGGTTGGTTAATATGTTCATTGCAATATATTTGTGGCCTGCTTTTTTCCTACGCCAGCTCTTCAAAGTGCTTTTAACGAACAAAAGAATTGAATGCAAAGCTCACCGTGCAAGCAGATGAATACTGCAGTACTTAAAAAGAACAACATTTAGCTGCAGCGTTGAAGTTCAGCAACTGATCAAAAAGGAAATAAACATCAGAGAGTATTTTATTATCTGACTTCCCTCTAAGATCAAACCGGAAGGACGCTCTCTCCTTTACCTGCCTTCCATACCACTGTGGCCCAATGTAGGTGGTAGCCCAAGCTGACACTGGCAGAATTTGAAAAGCTAAGCAGGACGGACCTGGAGGTGAGACCACCAGGAGAGCCCAGGGCTATAGGCTAGACTACAAAGTTTTAAAAAAAATCCTGGAGGACGGCAGTGGCAAATCATTTCTGTATTGTGGCCAAGAGCACAACGTGGGCATGTTCATGTCCCCAGGAGTTGAGCTTGGAGGGTTGATTTTATACAACCATTAGAGATACAAAGCAGTCCGAAGCATTTTGCTGCTTGATCGGCAGAACACGATGCTCCCTCCCTGAACTTCAGAAGCTGGTTGATTTGATAGAGAGTGGGGCAAGAGGAGCAGACTAACTTAGGGGTCCCTGGGCACTTAGTATGGCTTCCAACCTTGGCCTGTATGATGAATTAAGTACAGTAGCCACATGAAGTACGTTGTGAGTGCCATATAATCAGCACTCAGCCAGGGGTGGGAGGAAGAGCAAAGCTTGATCGTAAGGTTCAGTCTGATAAAAGCTAAAAGGGTTGACTTTCTTACTAGTTTTGGGGACAGCAGCCTCGTAGGGTTCCAAGCTCTTGGCCTGTTCAGCAGTTCTGCTATCAAGCATCTTCGGGGGGCAGGGAAGGAAATTGCTTCTGCATTGAGGGTGAGTGTTTCGGATGCTCGAGAGGCTTTGCCTCGGAGATCCCAGCGGTTCTTTTCACCAAGCAGATGTTATTTCTCCCTCGCATTGCCCAATGGGTCACGCTGGGGTGTAGCTGGCAGAAATGGGCATCGGCCATTTCTGATTCCCCCCTCAATTCCCGAACCCTTATTGA